TGCGGGGGTGTTATGGGTTGACCATACGTCGCAGGGTGACAATCTGAAGGGAGTCGACGGCGTGCTTTGAGTTTGGCAAATTCAAATCGCTGGTGGCGCTCCACACACACGTCTACTTCCTTGTGGCTCAACTTTTAGGCATACAGTGAGGAAAGTTTGCGGTACCGTTGCACCCATCACTCAAAGAGCGCTTCGTCATCTGTAGCGCTTTCACCCAGGGCTTATCTATTTCGGACTACATTTGGATGGCATGGTTGTCGGAACAAAAACAAAATTAAGGACTAATAAATGACCCATCGGCAAGACAAAATTTATTTTGGGACCCGACAGGTTCGGTGAAACTTCCATGAGTATGCATACTCGCTATATTGACAACGTGGTCAGACAATTCGGTGCCAAAAGTGCCGATAACTCGTGCGCATCAGGGTCATAGGTTTCGTCAGCGCACTCACCTGCAGTAGCAGAGGTTTGTTTTTCAATGTAACCCAAAGCTGTATCGGTTCTTGATTGGATGTCTACTGTCTATTACGACATGTACTCGGCCTCACACATACGCGATAACACAGCTGTCGCGTCTCCCGAAAACACCCAAAACTCAACAATCGATTGCAGCTATTCGAGTGCTGCGCTACCAGACGACTGTAAATGAAACTGGGATAGTTAACTACCGATGATAGGCGCTTGATTTTAAGCATGGTCACAATTGCAGGTGCGCCGGTGGTGTTTAGATCAAGTACCAGCGAATGGTTTTACTTAGCTAAGCGAAGGCTCAGGATATGACCTTTAACCATTGCATCATGATGTAACGGGGTTTCACGTGCCCTGGTATAAGGTTTGCGGGTCACACAAGATGGTGTGACCACACAATGGTGTGGATACACTTAAACAAGAAGTCAGTACGTGGCTTCACTGCCAGAAGTTTTACATTTAGCTCAATTTTACTTTATTGATAGGAAAACCTATATATATAGGTATAGTCGGCTTCACCGCAAATGAAGCCGGGAAACTCAGTTTATGTTTCAAACAGAAGAGTTAATTAGTCTTAAGTAAACGTTGTTATTACTCTTGGAGTAAGTGGATTGCGATCCGCTACACTCGACTAGATCTAAGTATAGAATGAAGGTCACTGACCTTAACCAAGCTTCCTCTTAGCGAAAGAGCTACGGCAGCCTCGCTGCACAAGACGTTTCTTAGATGCGCTCTATACTGGAGTTCCAGCGGGGCTGCCGTAAAATTGCGCTTTGAAAAAGCGTAAGTTGAGTCACCGTCCTCTCGTTCTATACTCAGAACAAGTACGAGTTTAGCGGATCGCAATCCGCTTACTCCAAGAGTAATAATAGCCTTAGCCCAAGGCTAATTAACTCCTCGGTCTAATTTCAAAACTGACTTCATTTATTTTTATCTGCGGCAAAACCGCCTAATTTTAAATGCATATATTTTCCTAAATATGTATAAAAAATTCTAAATACATGTATAACTACTGGCTATCCAGCCCCGTACCGTATTCTTGTTTGGGTGTGGTCACAGCATACCCATCTGGTGCGACACACGCCCCTTTTACCAGGGTATGTGTAACCCCGTTACACTATTCCCCATTAAGATTGAGAACATTAACAGTTCCAATCGATTATTGCCTCAACGAGGCTTG